ACCTACTGCTTTTTCGAATTCTGCTGGTGTTAAGGGGGGACTATTTCAATGTTCCATTCAGGATCCGACTGGATAGCGGGCATCGTAATGGTGGTTGGAGGTCAGTTAAACTGTTCCTTGAAGTGTTCTGTCCATCGTTCCAGTCGTCTCCTTTACGAGTAAATCACAGATCCGTCCTCCATTATTATTTCGGAGTCGGTTACGGTCTTCAGCACTGCTTTTACAGCAGACTGGAGATAGCACCAAGCTTCTGGATGAGTGACAGTCTTCCGTTCCGATAACTGTCTAGCCAACTTCTCACTGAACACAGCTTTGATGTTTCCGTTGTCCAGAAGCACTCGTGATGATTTTCTTGTCGATGTTTTCTAACGTCCACTGAGATGCAGGCATATACGTGCTCGGACCAACGCGTGTCTCTATCCAAACACGTACTCCTGAAGGAACGACTGTCTTTCACCGATCCTCTCCAGCGATGACTAATAGCAACGTGGCCCATCTGTGTCCATCGCTGAGTCGAGCTCGGTGGACGCCAGGTCAGACAGTGCCTTTCTTTATGTCTGAAATTTGTGCTAACTAAAAATAGGCGGTTATCTGAGCACAGTTGTAGTAGGCGGTCACCGTTGTCAGTACGTTCAGCTGGGACTCCGAAAGTGCCACCTAAGTGCCTTTCTGCCTCACTCAGTCTACCCACCTGTGCGTTGAGGTCACCTGCAACAACCACTACGTCCGAACGTTTGGCTTTCGAGAGGAGGTTACACAGTTTATGGTAGAACTCGTCCTTCACTTCATCCGAACTACAGTCAGTGGGTGCGTAAGCAGAGATTACAAAGAGATAACGGCGGGTCTCACTATTCCTCTTAGTTCTCACTGTGCCGTCCAGCCGGAGAGCTCAGAGGCGACTATCAACTGGGATCCACTGTAGGAGTTAGTTTTTTACCCCACTGCTTAATGCTATGCCTACACCTGCAAGACCGCACGAGCTAGCTATCGAATTTCCAGAAACTCGAAGGGTGAATTTTGCGGATTCACCAGGTTAGTCAGGTGAGGTTAGGTGAATAACCGCACTTGGGTCCTGTGTGCGTGTCTCACAAACACAGCACACATCCATGGCCCGAGTTGCTAGGGTCTTTGCCAACGAAGTTTGTTGACCAATTTGACGGAGGGTGCGGACATTGAAGGCTCCAAATGTAATTTGGAGCGTGGTTTAAAGAGATTAGGGATGCTGTTCTGTGGACTCAGATCATTGTCGAAGGCTGCAGAGCTAGGAGAAATTGAAGATGATGTAGTATCGTAAATTGAGAGACGTGAGGGAAGATTAGAAGGAAATGATGGAGAAGGTGGATAGCAGTCTGAGGAAACTTGGGTGCTGACAGAGTTGTGAGGGTGGTTGACACTTCACGGCTGCCCACTCCGTGGAAGGCTATTTCTTCTTAAGGTACCTGAAAGAGATTTGTGTGACAGCAGAGCCTGTCACACTCAGTCTCTTGAGTATGATTATTTTGAACTTTGTATTTTTGGGGCCGGATGAGCGAAAGGAAACGACAAGTGAACCAACACCGCCGGCCCGGCAGACCGTGGGGCGTGATGGAGTGTGTTATTTTTGGGGCCGACCTTTTCTAACCCCCCCTTCCACTGAGAAGGCAGCATCAGCTTGGCACTGCTGGTCATCCAAGGGAAACACCTTACTGCTGTCACACCCCATCCAGCTAGCAGCAGTACGACTTCGCCCTCAGATCCCCATCATAGTGTAGCAATTTACACTATGACGGTAACTGCTTTTCGTCTAACCACTACCCAACAGACCTTTCTGGTATGGTAGGACCTCGAGGGAACAAGCGTTCCACCAGCATAGCTCGTTGGGTCATTGTGATATGCAAGTCCGACCACCACGTCAAGGTAGCAGCTATCGGTCGGGGATGTATCTACTTACAGATAAGCAGGCTCTGACTTGTGTATTATTTGCAATATATTGAATGGCAACAGTAAAAATTGATGACCATTTACGCTTTTATTTACTAGGCTGTAAGTCAACTCTAGTTTCACTGCTAGGATATCACCTTATGTCCGAAACCCCGGTGGCCAAAGTGAGCTTGGAATCCACTAAGCATGAGTTGAAAATGAAACGCCTTATTCAACTAGTCGAAGTGACAGTCCTTTTACATGTAGTAAATGTGCATTCGACAGTAAAAGTAGAACCATCAAGTTCATTCATCTTTTGATAGATACTGAAACGAGCGTCATACAAGATAACGGTCAGCAGCAGAAGTCAGCATTCCTTTATACTATTTAGAGATTTTACTTCAGCTTGTCACTGACAATCATATCAAACAAGTTCAGCAGACCACCAAAGGTTATATACTTGGATACTTGGGGGTGATTTGAGTTTCACAATGAAATATCACCTTCTGTCTTTACTGAAACAATAGATGAAACTCAAAGATACTAGAAAATACTCTTCAAGAACGAACATCCACCAGAGAGCCATTGTAAAGCTTGGAGGAATGAACAGCTGCCACAGTATGGGAATTCTAAGTGGTGTGTTCTCACTACCCAGCGTTGAAACGATCAGTGGACCATGAGAGTTTTTCAACAGATCTCATTCAATGACGAATACTACCTTAAAGTCAATCAATCTACATAAATTACCAAATAAACAAAGCTAATGTTTAATATTTAATCGACTAGTGTTACTGGATCCTCCCAAGTATTTAATATTTTATGCTTTCTACCAGTTTACACTATCACTTTTTTCTAGCTATGTTTATTCATTTATAATTCAAGGTGCATAGTTTAATTCCATTCAGACCATAAAATATACAGTAGACTGTATATGCAATGAGGTATATCATGTGTCCTAAATATATTTTTTTTATACATACAAAATAGTAAACATGTTGAAAGCGTAAATAACTGAAGTATTTATTTATGAGGTGATAGAATATGTTATGTTTGTCTTTCTTAATCACTAGCAGAGCTATCCGTTAAAAAAATTTAGGTTTTTTCATTCAATGCATGTTACATCATTGCAGTATTTCAGTATGCTACGATTTCCTTCAATTAGATTTCGCTGGAACAGAATAAACCTTTTGCTATGCTTTCTTAATTGATATGAGCTTTTCAAATAAAGTGAAATTATAACAAGTGTTCATTGTTATAACTTTCTCAGTGATGTATTTCTTGATTATTTCAACGTTTCTTGTAAATACACTTATATACACATTGATTGGTCGCTGGAGAGCAACCACTTTTATGTTACCTAGTTCTGAGTGCAGTACGGCCACCAGGCTAGAAAGCTGAAGATTGTGGTACACATTGATAGATGTAAGTTGGTTGAAGGTCTCATGCTTGTCAGGACTCATCAACAAGGTGTAGCGGTAACCTTGACGAAACTCATGTCCCATGTGGGACTCGAATCCGCGTTGTAGCCAGCAATGCTACCACTTAGCTATTAAAGCCACGACTCACCTCCTACATGTAAATCATTATTTAAGTGGAAATAAAATCATGAATTATGATAAGATAAGAATATGGTGGCAATCACTTGGAATCCTCCAACAAACTCCAGTTATCATTCTCTACTGTATGATATGCAATCATGATTATTGATTACCTTCAAATGTTGTTAGTAATGCTCTTATAGTTATGAATGAGTCAAAGTATAATAAGAGAATGCGATTCCTTTTGCTTTGTTTGCTAATGAATGAAACGACTATTTTCTTTTCAAGTGTAAATACACTACTCTTAATTCCTTATCATTTAATTAGTAAAGTTAATTATTTCAAAAAAATGTTGAAGTACTTTGAAACTCCTCAATTATGATAGCTAAGTTATTAAATTGTGCTGTGTTATAAAATCAGATATCCTATTTATTTTGTATAATATTAAATTTGTTAACTTTCAAAATTCAGAAAATGACTAAAATATATATGTACTTCATTAAAAGGAATCAGTACTCTCTGGAATCAATAAACATTTAGCATATTGTCTATTCTACTTTAAGATTAGCTAGAAGTGTATAAAGCTGAGTTTAGAACAATAAAATTTCACGACAAATACTTTAACTGTTTAGTTAACTGATTATAAAGTAAATGATTTATGTTCTTTACTTATGCAGTAGGAGAATAAACAAGGGAATAAGAAGAAAATATCTAATTACCCAATAGAGGAATCATCTAGGACAGCAGCAGTTTGATCATTGTTTTTTTTAATTTTTCTACTCTGAGTCTTTATTTGTATTACTTAACTTCTTTTAGTTGTCCACCTCTGGAGTGCGCATACTTATGATACGTGATTCACAATACTTTGTGAATACAAGTCATTTAGCCAAATTTAGTGAGGTTAAGGTATTTGCATATAGTTGAGGCGCTAGTGATCTAACAGTTCAAACCAACACTATATGTAGAGAAAGCGTATATTCAACCTTTGTCTTTGCTATTACCGTGAAGTTGTGGCTCAGTGGTTTAAAGAGTAGACTTTCAACCAGGTAGTATCAATTACCGTCACGCAATTGGTGTGGTGCATTGTCTACCCCAAGAATATGAACAAAGTAGCTGAGTGGACTGCATTTTCGATTTCTTTGCCAATGGTATTAACAAACCTCTATTACATAACTACACTTGTCCCATGAATGTATTGTTTATTCTCCTTATTTGTACTACCTAACTTCGGACCGTTATGCAGTAATGCCTGGTCCTAGGTTGATCTGGATGGATGTCAACTGCTGTGTATCACCTACGTCAAACTTCATTATTGAAGGATGTCAAAGGAATACACTTTATGAACAAGAGATTTTAACGATTTTCATCTCTATGTGATACTTTGAAAAAACTAAATTCAAGTTTTATGAGAAAACTTCATCATTCAATACTTCTCATTTAAAAGAAATAAAATTATTCAGTAACTAAAAAACTTTCAAAACGTCTCGTTTAAAAAATTGTTCATAAATTAGTTGATCGATAGAAAAGCCAATATAAGAAATTTTTTTATGTTAACCAACTTACCATTATGCCTTTGATCAGATTTCGCTTCCACTGATAATTGGGGTTCATTGTTAGTTAGATGTTTTGGAAAAAAGTGTTCTTTTCTAGTAAATGACGACACTGGAGATAATCTTGATTTTTGAGTTATTCTCATATCATTATACATTTTTTCTGTTTGTTTTACATCAATTTCTTTCTCATTGGATTCCTTTTCTACTGACACTGCTTTTTCTTCTAAAATAATTTCATGTGATTTTGGTGTTTCAATATTTCTAGTGATATAATCATCCACGTTTTTCACATGTGTACTGGAATAATTCTCTTTTTCGCATTCAGTCAATGTTTCTTCATCTTTCTCTAGATTATTATTATTATCTCTTTCTAACTGTTGTTGTTCACTGTTTTCTTTATGTTTATTCAAACAACTGATTGGCAATTTTTGGTTTCTTTGATTACTGATAACAATATTTTGATGGTCATTAACATTATTATGTTGTACACCGGGTGTGACTGGTTCATTATTTTCAACCAATGAATTGTCAGATTGAGTCAACGCCCTTGTATTCTTATTGATCAATTCTTGTTTAAACGTATCAGATTTAAATACATTTGTAGGTAGTGGCGGTAAATATGTGTTAGAAAATTTAGGTACAACAACTACAGCTTCCTCTTTCTGTGAAAATGTAGATGATGATGGATTGATTTTATTATTTGTATTTAATGTATTTGAAAAATTATCATCTGAAGTTCCAATTGAATGATTGTCTTTATCGTTATCATCAGTTAGTGAAGTTTGACTTGTTTCAACAATTTTCGACAGACGTTTAATTTTTCTTTCATTCGGTGCAATATGCAAATTTGGCCGATAAACTGTATTTGGTACAATGATACCACCTAACTGTTTAAAATTTGTATTAACCCATGATTCTGGTTGTGAAGTATCATAGTGGGCTTCATTTAATTCATCGGAATTCGAGGAGGAAGTGGATGAAGAAGTGGATGATGGAGAACTTGGTGCTGAGTCATTACACTCATTTTCTGAATCTGAATTAAGTAGTGTTCCTATCAATAAGTTTGTTGCATCGCTTGGACGATTCGGTCGTTTCAGTGCAACACGTTTATATGGGACTGATAGGATTTCCTTGAGGCATGAATGAAAAAGAAGAGGGATTGTGAAAATACTTCTTTCTGGTTAGCAATGTCTTCAATCTTTTTTCAAGGAAGGAAACCGTTCTCTTCTTAAATATACTTATCCACTGTGTCCCGACATATTTTTCTACTATTCCTATTTTAAGTATGATTCACTAAGTCTCTACCTGTGGATGGATAATTCTTTACTTGAGTTGTCTGGGAATTTTGACCTATTTTATCAATAATGTAGATAAGCATTCATTCATAGTTATAACTTCAGTAATTGTGACTGAAAACAGAACATTCATTGCAGTTGTATGTACGAAATTTCACCTGCACTGAATAGTAGACGAGTTTTATTTAGGAAATTTGAGGACTATCTGAATCCAAAATGCTACACCAAGTGAAGTAAGGTCATCACCTAGTATCAATACTAGTCTCCCTAACCATGGCTACCTCAGATCGTCAAAACGATAATCAGTATAGTGCTCCTCCTCTTTAAGTCAGTTACATTTGGATTGAGATGAGAAGTCCTGACTAGGCAGCCAGTGTGAATACAATCAAGCAATAGTAACACGTTACGAATTCACATGACAGATGGTTAAAACCCTTGGTTATTGAAATGAAATAAAATTCTGGTCAGCAGTCGAACCTCGCAGTTCAGTTGGTAGAGCACCGTTCCGGTGACCCGGTGGTCGCTGGTTCGAATTCGACCGCGGTCTAGAATCAGCCAGTATAAATACTAGTCTGCCAAACCATGGCTATTTCAGGTAGTCAAAATGAAAACCATATCTACTAGATGTATAATGATCGGTATCACAGAAATTTGTTCAAAACCCAGGTTTGGAAATAAGATTGATATAATGTTTTGTTATCAACCTTCTGTAAACAAAATTGCTTCTTTAAATCTTTCTTTATCACGACTTACACTGAAAAATCAACGTAGAACCTCCCACACAGGTGCATCGACTCAAGTTGCCACAATTCACATTAGTATATAGAGAACAAGTGGATAGAATAAGAGTGATATCTAAGTAAACAAAGCTGTTGAGGAGAAGCTTTAGAAGATGTGAAGGAGTGAATACATTTGAGCCATTGTAAACGGTTTCCAGTTATATTACCAAGAGTTCTCAAGCACTGATTCTTTTCGTTTTGATGACACTATCGTGACAGTCTACATTTTTCCAAGCGTCTTAGGCCAACAGTCATGTCTTTTTCTGATCATCCTGGACCCTCTTCCAACTTAGTCCAGCATCCTCTAGCATGGCACGTCGAGGTATGTGGTGGCTGGGCATGCGCCATGAGTGTTCAAGCCACCTCAGTTGACTGGGGTTCACAACCTTATCAATCGACCTGGATTTTTTCCTCAGTTCACTTCACTTGACACTTGACAATGCTAATATGGTGATTCCACGAAACGCGAGTGATGTTACGAAGACATCCGTGGTCGAAACCCCGTAACTGCTCCATGTCTTCTAATCTTAACAGCTATATCTCGGACGTACAACAAGAAAGACTGGATTGCAGTATAGCGTACTCGTCCTTTGATAGATAGATATCTTGACACCTGCTCCCTCAGGTGACACAGGTTGGCAAATACCTAGAGGGCCTTCTGCGATCGAGCTGGGATTTCGTCAGCAACCAACCAATTTGAGCTGATGCAACTCCTCATGTATGTGAAGTGGTCGATACATTCCACTACTTCACTCCCTGTCATCAAACTTGGAGTAATTCCAGACCAGTCAGTTTGAAGCATCATCCTGCATTTGACAGGCACTAGACGCTTGCCAAAGATGTTCAGATTTCTGCCCAATGAGTTCGCAAGACCTTGCATTGCATTAGCGTCTTCATCTGGCAGAGCAATACCGTCTGCGTACTTCACGTCAACAGGATGAACTCCTGGGAGGAAATCAATCCCTATGAAGTTGGACGTATCTAAGGTTACAGCCATTATTACATCTTTGGCTAAGTCAGCTAGGGACGTTGACAGTTGGCACCACCATTTGTCATCAATTCACATTACAAATCTCCATAAGTTCTGATGCGGCTGCTTGAGTTTGAGTAGAGAGCTTTGATAAGAATTATATACTTGCTCAGCACTCCGTACACAGCTAGACAATGCCGAAACACCTCAGGGTCGTTAGAGTCAAATGCCACCTTCAGGCCGAGAAACAGGTCATGTCGGCTGTCGGTAATTATGCTAATGTTGCCGAATCTCTGGAGCAATGAAAATCTGATCAATGGACCATCGTCCAAGTCTGAAACCTACCTAGTTCCCTCGAATTCGCTGTTCTCAAGCTCCAGTTAGGCATCAGACAACTATGTACCCAAGGATCTTGGACACGATATTAGTCAAACTAGTTACCCTTTTTTATATCTCAAGCAGACTTTTCTTCCTTGCTATAGACTACAATGATCAGTGAAGTACACTAGTATGGCGAGACTGCTTTGTTTCCCATACACTATCTAGTACCTCCCTTACTCTAGCCAGCAATTTGCCACTTTCATCCTTAAAAACCTGCGATAGTGAACCTTCAGGGACTGCTGCTCAGCATCTTTATAGGTATGAAAAAGCCTTCTCAATTTCGGGGAGAGTAGAAGGACTGATATCTGCAACCAAATCAGTTTCTGGCTGGTCATTTGGCAACTTTAGAGTTGCCTTAGGCCAGGTGAACTTTACTTGATAGTGTTCCGCCAAAAGTTCTAGCCATCTGCCACGGGGGTTATCATCATTCAAACCGTCTCGGGGACGGTTTCATTAACCAGTGCTTTCTTCTTGCTGGTATGCTTAATAAGCGTAAATGGTTGCCTGGTGTTACCAAACGCTGATGCCTTCTTTATCTGTCTCACTTTCATCACTCCTTATTCTTACCAATCATTTCAAGACCTGATCATTTTATGCTTAAGTTGCTTGTAGTCTTCATCATGATCAAAATCAGCTGAAATAAGTACACTCGCATCAATCATTTCGGATAAGTTTGTCAAAATCCATTGACATTTGTTAACCTTCTGGTGTAGTTTGCCAACTGTCTTCACTACTATTCCTGCAATAGACTTCAGATCGCCCAAGGTTTTCTTAAGATGAGCATCGGTCGGATAAATTCTTGGCTGTCTCGTCCCCAAATACGTAACGGATGTTCACACCTTCCAACCGAGCACACTCGAGCCTCACTGCCGCCTCTTTTCTATGACCGGTAGGGTGCAGACATACGTACCAATATTAACGCGTGAACGCAGTATAAACAGACACTCCATAAATAGCGGTACTTCTACACCGATGCCCTTTAGCAATGGCTTATAGTAACATTATCTGAGTTCATCATTGGTTGGATATCGGTGGAAAACATGTGACAGTGTTTGAAATCAGTACTGACCAGGAACAACTGATTGATTGGACGAAACTGTGGCAGATGATCATTGTCAGTTCATTGGCACAGGATTCCGCAGATACCCGTAGATGCCTTTCCAGCTGGTTCAGACTTTCTACTTGGACATGCAATTATGACTATACACAATGTTTTGTTTTTGTAACAGAACCGACAGTATTTGATAGAATTCATTCTTGGCATCATCCGAAATGCAGCCAGTTGGTGCTTAGGCTGAGATTAAGAATATGCATCGGCTGGTCTCATGATCCTTCCTAGTCCTTACAGATCCATCCAGTCAAACAGCACACAGACAACTTTTGATTGGTATCCAGTCGAGAAGTGCACTTTACTCTCTGCAACTCACTGCTATGCCTACAGCAGCCAGTTCTCGAGAGCTAGCCACCGATTCTCCGGACACTCACGAACTGAATTCTAAAGATTCGCCGCAGTGGCCGGGCGAGGTTAATTTAATGACCACACTTGGTTCCTATATATGTGTCCCAGAAACACAGTAAACACGAGTGGCTCGAGATCCTACAGTTTTTGTGAGCAGTGTCTGCTACCCGATTTGGCATGAAGTTCGAGTGTTGGAATCTCCAATATGAACTTTGTGGCACGGCCTTACAAGACTAGGAATGAGATTTTGGTTGCTTCGATCATCGGCAATGGTCACAGCGTGAGAGGTTGAGTAAGTTATAAGGGGCATAATGTTCGTATGAGGAGTTCGGGTCAAAGAAGAAGATAGAGGTAAAGAGGATAGGTTGTCTGATTAGACTTTGGTGTTGATTGGCACTGACCCACCGCCTAAATCGTGTAATTTATTTCTATGGAGCATTTGGAAAAGAAAATTTGTATCGTTGCAGAACCCGAAAATAACCGGCTTGAGGCCTATCACACAGCCTGTTCAAGATTATTGTTATCAGATTTGGTTGTTCTAACTCCGGATAGAGAATACCTATACAGCCGGAATTGTAAGACTGTATAGAAGGAAGAGGTGTGCTGTTTTTGAGGTCAACCTTTTTATTCCCCTCTTCTCATAAAAAATACAATATCAGCATGATACTGCTGGTCATCCGCAGTAAACACCTTACTGTTGTCACAGTCCAGCCACCCAGTAGTACGACTTCGCTCTAAGACTCCTATCATCCAGTAGCAGTTTAGACTACAGTAATAAGTACTTCTCACCTCACCACATCCCAACAAACCTTTCTGGCGTAGTAGCACTTGGAGGAAGTAAATGTCCCACTTAGTGTAGCTCGTTGGGTCATCATGATATACAACTCCGACCACCTAGTCAGGGCTGCAGTTATCGGTCCAGTGTTACTTACTTACTTCTTTATCTTTCAGGCTTTGATGACTAGCTATAACTCAACAGCCTAACCACACACGAAAAAACAAACTAGTAAACTTGGTGTAACACCTACAGTTTGTATGGACTACTTGAAGATAACATATTCTGATGTGAAAGAGTATTATGCATACTTTAGTTAAACTCTCTTATTTCGTCTATCGACATGCGACAAATGATTGAATTTGATTAAAATAAGCTTAATACTTACATGTAGTCCATGTAGATTGCAATCGAAAAACCAAGTTTACTAATTAGTTATTTCTTATACGGTTAGCATTTTAGGTTATGACC